ATAAAATAATTATCTAAAAAAATTAAAATATATATATAAAAGTTACATAACACTTAAGTGCATTGTTTTAGGGCTATATTTTTATATAGACACCGCATTTCACAATGCATCAATATCATTTTGCTGTCTTTTATGAGCTATTAGACAAACCCTATAAGCGCGTAATTGTGAAATTATATACAAACGTGCATATGTACTGCATTGACAGGCATGAATTCCAAGTAATCAAACCAATAATGATAGATTAACTTTATTTATGTATTTATTGGAAATGGCAGGTGGATTTTACTTATCAAATAAAGGCATAAAATGCCTCAACAAAAAGACAAATTGACTTAGTTTGGTATTATTAAAAATCCAAAGTATCAAAAAAATTATTATTGAAGCAAATTTCTAAAGTATCTCGAAAATTAAGTTGAGTAGGTCATGGTACCTATTAAAAACTAGCTTAGGATAAAAATAATATATGAATATATGTAAAAAGCGCTCAATCAAATACACGTATAAATACATACTATTTAGTACACATACATATACAGTTGCGAACTTAAATGAACCACTCGCGAATATTATTTTGTTATCTTCCATGGACTATTATGATTATTGCATGCCATGTCGTAGCCTCAACAACTGTTTACTCTTTATCGAGGTTAGCAGCGGCACCAAGCACCTGTGACTTTCTATAAGGGTTTTACAGTGTTTACAATATACATAAATGATTATTAATATTTTTAAATTTTATTAAGACAGGAAACTAATGGAGCATTAAGGTGACTTGCTGGGGTATTTTTATGAAATGAATAAAAATTATTAACATTTGCTGCTCATACCTGCCAATTAAGATTAATTCAAACAATTTTAGCTAGCAGAAGAAAAGATACTAATGCTTAAGTGCAGCTGATTTTAGCGTTTTTTTTTTTAATTTCTATTATGATTATTATTATTTTTTTAATTTTTTTTTTTGAAAATGTAACCTCAACTATACCAAATCTGCTGAGTTAGTTAAAAATGAGCACCAACATGAATTTGTTCCAGCTCCAGGTCTTTTAAGGTTATTTGCGATTAAAACAATATCTACAGTTCCGTAAACAAATTTTATTTTTCCAAAATTACCAAATCCTTATTAAGTATATTTAAATTATTAAAACCACAACATTTTTTGTTCCAAATATAACCTAAAACTAATTATTTCAAAGATGCTATTATATAAATGTCGCACAAAATGTAAAATCGCGTAACATATCTTGTGTAATAACAATACTGCAATTGGTTAATATTGCTGACTTGGTAAAAAAGAGTCTATCGCCATTCAGAGTTGGCATATCCTACCATTTTTAACCCTCAAATATAATTTCATTAACAATATAATGCATAAGATAGAATTTTAAAATATATTACACTCATGCAACACATTTATTTCGCTAAACATCAAATAAATCGCATGAAAGCTAACATAAGTAACGGAGTTGTGCTGTCACTATTGCCAGCGCACACACAACTGCACTGTACATGTAAGCAAAACACAGCAAATGCGCTGGCATATTTACATACAAATTAATAAAACATTACTATATACATATATGTAACAAATAACTTACCTTAATTGCATTTGAAGTGTGTAGAAATGGAATATGTTGTCGTAGAACCTATAATTTTTAGAAATATTTAAAGAAACTCACACTTGACCGGCCCTCCGACTTGCAGCGGCCACTTTTTCACAACACAAAATAAATTGTATATTTGCACGGCCAGCGTACATTTTTCACTTCTTTTCTATAGCAAACACTTAAAGCCAACACATTATAAAGAAAAATTAAATGAAATAGACTTTTTTAATTGGAAATTCACAATTCCCACAAGAGCCTCTGACAAAGCAAATTACTTTAACACAAGATGAAACGGAAACTGACAGCAAACTGTGGAAATGGCGGTCAAAGCTGGCTATACACAGAGTTGCATTTTTTTAATTGCGATATTTTTTAATTTTCTTCTTTTATTCAATTAAAAGTGCAGGTTTTATTTCAATGTTACTCCTTTTTAATTAATAATTGTTCATATTCACAAAATATACACACACGATTGCTTTTTATAAGTTTTGGTAAATTGTCTTACCAGCCGCAAGAAATTCTTATATTTAGCAGACAGTGTAAGCCAAAATGTCTACCATATGACAACAGTGCAGGATGAATATAACCAACAAAAAGTGACATTGCTTACATTCGTCCATTTTTATGAAATAAACACAATTATGCGTTAATAAAAATTATTAATCAAAAAATATATATGTCGCTTTGAAAGCGTTGAAGTGTGCCAGACAGCACTGTTTACCTTGCTAGTCAAACTGTTTATAACTCATGTACTCGTTGCTATTTCACTATGGAAATACAATGTGAATGGAACGGAAGTATTTTTAAATTTATTTCAAAGTTAAACAACTACAACTTATATTTTAATAAACGTTACAGACAATTGCATTAAAACTGTAACTTATTTAGCATTAAAAAATTACTATGTCAATTTTAAAAGCATACATATATTGAATCGATAATAGCAATAAATCGATGATTTCCTAATTTTGTAGAGTAAAGTTGAATACCTGCCAAATTATGCACTAGTATGTATGCATATACATATGTAAGAATTGTAAGCATTTCATACAAACAGCTGATATTGCAAATTCATTGAAGCCTCTTAATTAATCAATAAAATAAAATAACTAAATGAAAACTTTAAAACGCAAAAATTCTAATATGAGTAACATACACTCTCTTCACAGCTAACTTAACTATTTCGCGTGGTTGTTTGGAGGACGAGAAAGTAGCTGATTGCACGGCACCAAGCTGCGTTAGTTGTAGCGATAAAGATAAATGCAATAATTTGAATGTCTGTAAGTCTTGCAATTCAGGTAATGACCCAACGTGTGCCCAAACCGATGCATCAGCAGTGAATAATGTTATTTGCGAAAAAGCCGATAGCAAATGCATGATCAACGTATTGGAAAAGAAGACCGAACGTGGCTGTGTGACAGATGAGATCGAAAAGATATGCACCGATGAAAATACATGTCAAATGTGTACGGGTGGCGCTTGTAATCTAGGCATATTTCCGAAGGATCGCCTTACCTGTTTACAATGCAATGACACGGTTGCAGCTTGCGCAGATGCCCAAGCAAGTAGCGGCGCATTGCCGTGCACACAGTACGTGGCGAACGATACCTGTTATATGTATGCCAGCGATGAAACACATGTGATACGCGGCTGTACATCGGATGTAGGCGACCAGAATAAATGCGCAACAGGCGATAAGAAGTGTAAAACTTGTAATGCAAATGCGTGCAACAGCTACGGTTACCAAACCGAGCAATTGTTGGAGTGCATACAATGCTCAGACAATAATCTATGTGCATGGGGACACGAGACCAGCACGGCTAAGAGTTGTGAAAAACAAATCCTATACTCAGCCGAAGGTAAATGTTACACGCGTACCTTTGAGAATGGTACGGTTACGCGCGGCTGTTTCTACGATCTTGATGATGCCGGCCAAACAGCGTGTGAAGCTGGTACAAATTGTACAACTTGCACAACTGCAAATGGTTGTAATAATGCAGATACACATAATTTCACCTGTATTCGTTGCCGAAGTGATGAGAATGGCAAGTGCCGCTACGAGCCGAAAGAAATTGCCGGCGAAAAGTGCAGAAATCTATTGCAATCAAATGAAGACATGAAATGCTTTACCGGCGTTTGGAGTAAGTTATTTAATAATGCAAATAATTATACCCCGAGCACATTGAATGAATATATTAAGTTTGTCACGATGTTTGTAACACTTTTCTTTAACTTTTTAGGAACCAATTTGCTTATACGTGGATGCCTGATCGATTTGGAAGATCGTGATCAATTTATTTGCAATGACCCGGAAAACAATAGCTGCCAAATCTGTAACTCAACTAATTGTAATAATAAGTCCAGCGGAGCTGCGTATTTCCTCTTAACAAATGGCTTACTGCCAGTTGTGCTCTTCACATTGTGGCATATGAAATAAAATATATGTACACTACCAAAATATACTATTGCAAAAACTTAAATATACTTTTATATACCATATCCATGTACATATGTGCTCTTATAAACTTAAAATATAGTAATTTACAAACCTACCTATTGACATACATTCATTACATATGTGCACTAGATTACAGTATGCGCTCTAACGATTAGTTCACCCATACAAATACCAAAAATAAATTTTAAAAATGTATGTAAAGAAAAAAAAAACAAATTTTATTTATTTCACATTGGATATGCACAGTTTGCGTAAAAAGTAATTAAAACTTATATACAGAGAGCTTAATTCACTAAAATCTTGCAAGCACACATATTTTTCTCATCATTTAATTTAAAGCATTAATGTAGCCAGCATAAAACTTGCCAGCCCCAGCCAAAGGCTTAACTGTGAATTGATTTGAATAGCAGCCGAAGGCGCCAAAAGGTTGTTGCAAGCCTTCTCATAGCACAAAATGCATTGTTTTGAGTTGACCTTGCAGTATTTAAGGCCTTCCTTGGTGAGTTCTGAAATGCAGCCGCGCGTGGTGACATTTGTGTCAGCTGAAAGAAGATTGAGGTTAGAGTTTATTAATATTATTATTGATAGAGTAATGGTCAAATTCTGTCTTATTCAATGTGAGCAGAAGCAATTTTGCGATTTTTCTAATTAAAATATTTTGAAATTAAAAATTAATTTTTAAATGAAGTTTAAATTAATTCTTAAATGAAGTTTAAATTAATTTTTAAATGAAGTTTAATTGCAATATTAAACTATTGAACTCATAATTTAAATTTTTTAAATTTTAATAATTAAAGTGGATCTGAAAATTTAAAATTTAATTTGAAATTCCTAAGTCAAAATTAT